TATATATATATATATATATATAACATTTTCTTGATCCATTCATCTACTGAGGGGCATCTGGATTGGTTCTATATATTAGCTATGTGAATATATGCTGTGATAAACATAGTTGTGCTGGTAGCTTTAGTATGGCCTTGTTTGTGATCATTTGGGTAAATGCCCAAAAGTGGGATTGCTAGGTTATAGGGGAGCTCTATGTGGACTCTTTTGAGCAACCTCCATACTACTTTCTAGAGTGGTTGAACAAGTTTACACTCCCACCAACAATGCAGTAGGGTTCCCCTTTGGCCACATCCCCTCCAGCATCTGCAGTTATTAGATTTCTTGATTATAGCCATTCTAACTGGAGTGAGGTAGAATCTCAATGTTGCTTTGATTTGCATTTCTTTGATGGCTAGAGAGGTTGAGCATTTCTTCATGTGTCTATTGGACATTCTTATTTTCTTTTCAGAGAAGTTTCTCTTTAAGTCTTTAGCCCACATATTAATCAGGATTTGTTGTTGGAGGATTAAATTTTTTGAGTTCCAGGTATATTTTAGATATGAGACCTTTGTCCGTTGTATGGCTAGTGAAGATCTTTTCCCAATCCGTGTGCTTGCTATGTCCTTTGCCATGCAGAAGCTCTACAGTTTCATGCAATCCCATTTTTCCAACCTTTCTTTGGATTTGTTGTGTTTCTGGGTCTCTATTAAGAGACCTGTGCCAAGGAGCCCTAGAGTTTGTCCTATTCCTTCCTTTGACTTCAAGGTCTTTGATCCATTTGGAGTTGATTCTGGTGCAGGGTGATATATAAGGACTTAGCTTTAGTTTTCTACAAGTGTTTAACCAATTTTAACAGCACCATTTAGTGAAGAAGCTGTCTTTTTTCCATTCTATTTTTTTAGCTCCCTTATCAAAGATTAGGTAGCTGTAGGTCAGTGAATTCATTTCTGGGTCTTCAGTTCTATCTATTGGTCCTCAGGTCTGTTCTTGTACCACTAGCAAGCTGTTTTGATTACTGTGGCTTTGTAGTAGAGTTTGAAATTTGGTATTGATATTTCTCCAGCACTGTTCTTTCTGCTAAGAATTGTTTTTGCTATTCAGGGACTTTTATTGTTCCATATGAATTTTTGGGTTGTTTCTTCTATTACACTGAAGAATGAGGTTGGGATATTGATGGGTATCACATTGAATTTGTAGATAGACTTTGGAAGTATTGCCATTTTCATGATGTTAATCACCCAATCCAGGAGCATGGGAGGTTTTTTCACTTCCTTATTTCTGCTTTAATTTCCTTTTTCAGGTTTTTAAAGTTTTCATCATAGAAGTCTTTCACTTCTTTAGTTTATTCCTAGGTATTTTATTTTTTGTGGGGCTATTACAAAAGGAGTTGCTTTCCTGATTTCAGCCACACTCTTCTCATTATTGGCATACAGATAAGCCATTGATTTTTGATAGTTATTTTTTTATTGTGAAAATACTGTACAGAGGGGTTACAATTACATGGGCAAGATAATGAGTACATTTCTTATCAAGCATTGTAGCCTCCTCC